ATTTTTATTAGTATTAATGCCGGACTTAAGAGTCGAATTGATCCTATCATGTACAACGTCCATTAAAGATAGTTCATTAATGTCCATTGATTTAGACTTCTTCCAGTTTATACTTCAATAGCTATTATAGGAAGTGAAATTTGGGAGAGATATCTGTGAACAATGTTAATTGGAGTGGATTGGGTTTAATAATTCAGCCCATGAAATTAAAGGTCCTAAAACTTAATTTTTTGAAAAGAAAAGGAAAAATAATAAACAATAAAACTAAAGATTTACTAAAAATCAACTCTTAACCCCCTAAAAAAGTCAAATTCGAAATTACTATCATAATTTTTCAATTATTATCTCTCTCTGTCTCCCTTACAGTTAAGTTCAGTTATGATAACAAATATTTGAATATATAAACTTAATTAATTTTTTTAATTTAAAAAAAATTAAACAAATTTATTATTAATAATTTTTTCTTTGCTTTAGACCCCCAAAATGTCATAAGGCGTCCTTGTATGCTTTGTGTTGGGTCTTTTTTCGTTACATTGGTATTTAATATTAGGAAAATTTTCATTCACACTCTATATAGATAGCCTTAATTTCAGTGACATTCTTTTTCGATTACCAACACCCCTTGTCAGTCTTGGTCGAGTAAGAACCGTGACGAAAATATTTTTTTTACCACTTTACCCTTGAACTTTATATTTTTTTTATATATTAAGTCTGTTAAGATGTGTATATATATACAGAGAGAGAACCCTCCTCTAACCCAACCCTTTGCCACCCCTCGCTACCAATTCCCACCTCCTTCGCCACTGTCTGTCCCTCCACAGTCTCACTCGACACCCTTCGCACATCACCTCCTTCTCTCTCTCTCTCTCTCTCTCTCTCTCTCTCTCTCTCTCTCTCTCTCTCTCTCCAGCAAACCCCTTCCTACAGTGTTGAGATAGGAGCAAAAAAAAGATCAAAATTCATCTGGGATTTTTTGTGATGGGTGTTGACTTAAGGGTTGTGGTGGTGGTGGTGGTGGTGGGCATGTGAAAGGTGGTAGTCGACGGTGCGTGTGCACGTTGGGGAGTGGTTGATGTCAAGTGGGGTTTGGGACAGATTGACCATGGGTGTGGGGCTGAGTGGAGGCTGAACCCTCTCTCTCTCGACAAAGTATAAGTGGGTGGGAGTGATGTGTGATAGCTATCTCTTGAATCATTATTTTGATGACATTATGAATTATATGTTTGATTGGCATTTGAATGAAGGTGACAGTGGTTATATGGCTTTGTATGAGTGTGAATGTTGTGTATTTCAAGCCTTGTCAAAATGGCTACCAAAAACATCTCTCCCTTTAGTGCAAGCTTGTTCATTGGGTTTCTTTGCCCTTGAGTTCTGGTCAAGCGGTCGTAAACAATTGGTTGTTAGGGGTCATGCTCAAAATTTCCAAACTGCAATCAAGCTTGCATTTGCCAAAGGATATCCTGATTTGCTTTTTGTTGCACAATCAAACTATCTGGTCTGTCAGGGGTCATGTTGTATCTTGCTTGCTGCTGCGTAAGTCTCTAATTTGATTTAGTTTTCACATGGGTTTCAGGCTTTCAACTCTAATTTGTGATCTTCGTTAAATATAATAATATCCTCACTGATTATTTGGTATCAAAAAAAATTGTGTATTTGCTTCGTGTGTGGTCTATGGTGGTATCGAAATGGAGGTGTTGTGGAGACCATAGTGCATTGAAAGTGGTGCGAAGAAGAAACGGGTAAAATTGATATTTTTGAAGAAAAATAAGATGATATCATCACTTTTTTAGTTGTCGGTAACAGTTTGTCACGATAAGGGGTGTAGTTGCAATGAAATTTCAGAATCAAAAAAAGGTGTCATCGAAATTAGGTCTATCTGTAAAGGGTGTGGATGAACTATTTCTTTGATATTATTGTTTAGGTTGATTGGTATTTGAGTGACTTATGGTGTGGTGGTTTCGATTAGTAGTATGGTCCTATGGTAGGGAATATTCGTACTGAGGTTCTAGGCTTAGCTGTTAAGTCGTTGCACCCCAAGTCCCCAACAATGGCTAGCTACCATATGTTTCCTCTCCATTGCATGGTAATTGTGGAGACGTCTTTCTTCCCTCTGTCAGCGATCCGTGTTCATCTCCATCATGCCACAATTCTCAAATTTTTGCCACGTGTCTCTACTCCCCACTTGTTCACACGTCGTCGTTGTCGCTGTCCCCGTCATTCAAATCTATTTCTTCCGGACCAATTAGAGCTCTTCCATCTTGTGGCTCTCTCTAAAGTAAAAAGCATTAATGGAAATGCACTAATACTTAGGAAGGAAGAAAATAGAAAATATAATAAAGATACAGATTAAATACATGTGTTTCATACGGATAAGCCTATTGGTAAAAAAATGGTATTGTACTATTATTTATTATTTTTGTTGGTATTTTCATACATTGTTCATATAAAGTAGTGTACCCATGTAGAAAAAAATTTATTGGGTTATGTATTTTGAAAAAAATTTGACAATATTTTAAAAAAAAAATAGGTAAAAATTAATTTTAAATGATGTAATCAAAGAAATAAAAAAATAAAAAATTGTTATTTGGTATGATGGGATAAATTTTTTTAAAGCTCGAATTTTATATTTTATCGTACCTTCAGACACGAGTTATGACTAGTTGACTTATATAATGGATAAAATATTGTAAGTGGTATAAGTTTTGGTTACTATATGTTGAGTTTTTATAAGTTTCGTGGGTTAAGAGATAAGTTTTTTGGTTTGTTGACAATATAATTTTTTTAGGTCATATTATAATTAATTGAATATTTCTAATTAATCGAATTTCTACCTTTTCATAATAGGTATATTTGTCTCATATGTGGATCATCTTAAATTCAACTTTCTGTCTTTTTTTTTTTTTTGTTTCAATTTTAATCTTATGTCGCCATTTGTGGAAATTTCAAACTGAGGATCAAAGTCCACATGGTAATAGGCACCTTTGACTATATGGGTCTCAAGTTAATAAATAGATTATATTAAAATTAGACATAAAGAACACAGTTACTTGGTATGACAAGTAGAAAATAAATATTTTATAAATATTTTAATTTTTTCTATAAAATCATATAAGTTATTGTAAAAACTAAATAATATTTAATGAATAAGATATATTGACACAAACACAATAATAATCAAAAATTATACGAGCAAAAATAAGACAAAATTGTATTTAGACCTAATTTACTAATGTAATCTATCATAATTATTGAATTGATAACAAATCTAAAAAAATATTGGATTTTGTTGTTAATCCAATGACTATATGTGATTAGGTACAAGTAAATTAATAAATTAGATCCAAGTTGCATTACAAGCTATTTTTACAATTACTCTTGGGTATATCTTCAACTTCTCTTTAGTTTATTTCATTGACTATAATTATAGCAAAAGTGAGATCATTTCTGGTCGATCAAGGAAGAAAGAAGTTGTTGGAAAGGATTTAAATCAATCCCAAAGGTTTTGGAGGAGCTTGAAGGTAATTTAATTTGTCCAATCATTTGCTTCTTATACTTGATATTTTGTAAATGTGACACATATTTGACTTGATCAAAGTGTCCTTCGACCTTCCTTTGATTTGGACTCTGACGGCCGGCATAGATCTCATGAGACACGTCCACTGTAACTTTGAAAAAAGTCCTGTCTTTTTCCTTCGCTATTAGGAGAGTAAGCAATTTTTATTAGTATTAATACTGGACCTTAGAGTCGAATTGATCATGTCATATGCAACATCCATTAAAGATTGTTTGTTAATGTCTATTGATTTAAACTTCTTCTGGTTTATACTTCTATAATTGTTATAGGAAGTGGAATTCATGAGAGATATTTGTGAACAATGTTAACTGGAGTGGATTGGGCTTAATAATTTTGCCGATGAAACTAAAGGCCCCAAAATTTAATTTTTTGAAAATAAAAGGAAAAAAATAAACAAAAAAACTAAAAAGCTACTAAAAATCAACTCTTAACCCCCTAAAAAAGCCAAATTCAAAACTACCATTGTAATTTTTCAATTATTCTCTCCCTGTCTCTCTTACCATTAAGCTCAGTTATGATAACAAAAGTTTGAATATAAAAACTTAATTAATTTTTTAAATTTTTTTAAAAAATTAAATAAATTTATTATTAATATTTTTTTTTGCTTTAGATCCCAAAATGTCTTAGTCGCCGTCTTGTATGCTTTGTGTTGGGTCTTTTTTCGTTACATTTGTATTTGATATTATCGTTTGGGTTTATTTGTATATGAGTGATTTATAGTGTGGTGGTTTCGGTTAGTAAGGTCATGTGGTGGGGAATATTCGTATTGAGGTTCTAGGCATAACTGTTAAGTTGTTTCACCACAGCAATGGTCGGCTACCACGTGTTTCCTCTCCATTGTATGGTGATTGTGGAGACATCTTTCTTCCCTCTGTCAGCGATACGTCTCTATCATACCATGATTCTCAAAATTTTACCACGTGTCTCCATTCCCCACTTATTCACATGCCATCGCTTTCGTTGTCCACGTCTTCATTGAGTTCAAATCTTCTTCTTCCGGTCTAACGAATAAGCCTACTGGGAAAAAAATGGTATCGTACCATTATTTATTATTTTTGTTGATATTTTTGTTATTTTTGTAGATATTTTTTTCACTTTTATAGTACTTGCAATTAATCCCAACATTTTTATAACAAAAATGATAAAAATATCCACAAAGGTTATAAATTTTTTTATTACAAAAGAACCTACAAAAATTATAAAAACACTTATTAAAATAATATAAAATTTAAAGCTATAGTACCAAAAAAAACAAAAAATCAGTACCATAGTTAAGTCCATTTTATATGCATATTAATTATCATTTCAAATTCATATCTACTCCTCTCTCTCCCACTCTCTATTTTAATCATCTGTGAAACAGGAAATTCAAAAGAATTGATAAATCCACAACCAAGTCATTGAAGCAATACCCTTTGACAACCTCTCAGCACCTCACCTCCACCAGCAATCGCCCAAACCCACCTAGCATATCAACTTTTTCACCTTCGTTGTGACCTCCACAATCACACAAAAGACAACCACCAACACAATCCGGCACACATACAAACCAACCCAATTTTCACAATCTGGTTTTTTTTTTCAAAACTTCTAGACTATATAAATCGGAATTTAATGGGTCCATTTCCGAACAAGATCGACGGGCCATTTCTAACGCCACCGCGAACAGACTGCTACCACTATTCTCAACTTCATTTGGAACCTCATAATCATCTCCGTCACCGAACTTCCCACTATTTCGGGTTTCTCGTTCTATTTGTTGTCAGCGACCTCAGCTTTGGGTTTCCCATTCCCGTTCTATTTCTTACCCACAACCACCTCATTCCCGTTCTTCTGCTTAACCTCGTCATCGTCGGTCTTTCTCTTCACCTTCCCCTCCTTCCCCTTTATTAGGACAAGAAATCCACCAACAGAAGAGCTACCAGAAGAGATATCCTTCTGCAACATGCGAACTTCCTCCCTCAAAGATAAAGCGATAGAAATTAACGCTTTGTGTGTACCACCAATCATATCTTCCACCATCAATATAAGAACTTACGGTGAAAAACTTTTATAAATATTCCAAGGGAAGGGTTCAGCTGGTTTGGAGGTTGCTGGTTTGAGAAGGCTGGTTTGGAGGGTGCTGGTTCGAGGAGGCTAGTTTAGAGGGTGTTGACTTGGAGGAGGCTTGTTTTGGGGAGGCTCATTTTGAGGTGGCTAGTTTGGTCGGTGAAACGGGTTTCAAAGTTTCATTTCTATGACCCCTGTCTCAACGGTTATGGTTCTATTTTTGTCCATTGCGATGAAATAAACTGATGTGACACACCGTCATCTCTAGTTACAGTGGTCACACATGTCACAATGGTCATAGTCAAGTCAAGTCAAAATTACAATCATAATTTTTCAATTATTCTCTCTCTTTCCCATTTACCATTAAGTTCAGCTATGATAACAAAAGTTTGGATATAAAAAAATAAATTTATTATTAATATTTTTTTATTGCTTTAGACCCCCAAAATGTCTTAGGGCATGCCTTGTATTCTTTGTGTTGAATATTTTTCCGTTACATTTGTATTTGATATTATCATTTGGGTTTATTGGTATTTGAGTGACTTATGGCGTGGTGGTTTCGATTAGTATGGTCCTGTGGTGGGAAATATTCGTATTGAGATTTCAGGCATAACTGTTAAGCCATTGCACCCCAACAATGGCTGGCTACCACATGTTTCCTTTCCATTGCATGGTGATTGTGGAGACGCATTTCTTCCCTCTGTCAGCGATTAATCTCCATCATGCCATGATTCTCAAAATTCTGCCACGTGTCTCCACTCCCCACTTGTTCACGTGCCGTCGCTGTCACCATCCCCATCATCATTGGGTTCAAATCTTCTTCTTCTGGTCTAATTGAAATGCACTAATACTTAGGAAGAAAAAGTGGAGAATTTAATAAATATATAGATTAAATACACTTGTTTCATACAGATAAGCCTACTAGGAAAAAAAAATAGTATCGTACCATTATTATTATTTTTGTTGGTATTTTTATTATTTTTGTAGGTATTTTATCACTTTTGTAGTACTTGCAATTAATCCTAACATTTTTATGACAAAAATGATAAAAATATCCACAAAAGTTATAAATTTTTTTATTACAAAAGGACCTACAAAAATTATAAAAACACTCATTAAAATAATATAAAATTTAAAGCTACAGCCCCAAAAAACAAAAAATTAGTACCATAGTCAAGTCCATTTTATATGCATATTAATTATCATTTCAAATTCATATCTCCCTCTTTCTCTACTTTAATCATCTTTCGTTATTATCTTATTTCGATTTTAATCTTCTGTCGTTATTAATGGAATCTACAAATAGAGGATGTAACGCCACATGGAAGTCGGCACCATGGACCATATCCAAAAAGAAACCAAACGCAGTCGTCACATCAATTGAAATGTTTAACATTGTTCACTGACATATACTGCTCATGATCATGGGAATAAAATAGTAATTCACAAGAACCTTCAATATATCAAGCAAATACTTTAACTGAACATAGTGCATCAGACCCTTGTAGGCCAACATATATCTAGATCAAATCAATATACACAAAATACACAAACTGTGAAACAGAAGATGCAAAAGAATTGATAAATCCACAACCAGGTCATTGAAGCAATACTCTTTGACAGCCCCTCAACACCTCACCTCCACTAGCAATCACCCAAACCCACCTAGCATGTCAACTTTTTCACCTTTGTTGTCACCTCACAATCAAACACAAAACAACCACCAACACAATCCGGCATACATACAAACCAACCAAGTTTTCACATTCCAGCTCACATACAAACCAACCCAGTTTTCACAATTTGTTTTTTTTTTAAACTTCTAGACTATATAAACCAAAATTTAAGGGGTCCATTGCTGAACAAGATCTACGGGCCATTTCTAACACCACCACGAACAGGCTGCTACCGCCATTCTCATCTCCACCCAGAACCTCATCATCATGTTTGTCACCGAACATCCCGCTATTCAGATTTGTGTCAGCAACCTCAACTTCAGGTTTTCCGTTCCCGTTCTGTTTCTTACCTACAACCACCCCATTCTCGTTCTTCTGCTTAACCTCGTCATCGTCGGTCTTTCCCTTCCCCTTCCCCTCTTTCCCCTTTATTAGGACAGGAAGTCCACCAACATAAGAGCTATTAGAAAAGCTACTAGAGGAGATATCCTTCCGCAACAGGGGACCCTCCTCCTTCACAGATAAAATGGCAAAAATTAACGCTTTGTGTGTACCACCAACCATATATTCCAAGGACTTGAGTCCATTTCTACAAATTTTGTGACCTAGTGCAACCAGCCCTCTTCCACCATCAATAGAAGAACTTAGGTGAAAAACTTTTCTAAGTATTCACAAGGAAATGTTCAAACTTGAGGAGGCGGTGGAAAACTTTTCTAAGTATTCACAGGGAAAGGTTCGAACTTGAGGAGGCTAGTTTGGAGGGTGTTGGTTTGAAAAAGGTTGGTTTTGGGTAGGCTGGTTTTGAGGAGGCTAGTTTGGTGGGTGAAATGGATTTCACGGTTTCATTTTGACGACACATGTCTCAATTGTAATGGTTCTATTTTCGTCCTTTGCGGAGAAATACATTGACGTGACACACCTTCATCTATGGTCACAGTGGTCATACATGTGACAGTCAAGTCAAGTAAAAAATATCATCGTAATTTTTTAATTATTCTCTTTCCTTGTATCATTAACCATTAAGTTCAGTTATGATAACAAAAGTTTGAATATAAAAACTTAATTAATTTTTTTAATTAAAAAAAAATTCTTATTAATATATATATTTTTTTGCTTTAGCCCCAAAATGTCTTACGACATGCCTTGTATGCTTTGTGTTGTGTATTTTTCCGTTACATTTGTATTTGATATTATCGTTTGGGTTGACTGGTATTTGAGTGACTTATGGTGTGGTGGTTTTGATTAGTATAGTCCTACGGTGGGGAATATTTGTATTGAGTATCTAGGCTGTTAAGCCGTTGCACCCCCAACAAAGGCTAGCTACCACGTGTTTCCTCTCCATTGCATGGTGATTATGGAGACGTCTTTCTTCCCTCTCTCAACGATCCATCTCCATCATGCTATAATTCTCAAAATTCTACCATGCATCTCCACTCCCCACTTGTTCACGTGCCTTCGCTGTCCCCGTCATCATTGGGCTCAAATCTTCTTCTTCCGGTCTAATGGAAATGCACAAATATTTAGTAAGGAAGAAAATCAAAGAAGAAGAAAAAGTGGAGAATATAATAAAGATACATATTAAATACACTTGTTTCATACAGATAAGCCTATTAGGAAAAAAATAGTATCATACCGTTATTTATTATCTTTGTTGGTATTTTTTATTTTTGTAGGTATTTTGTTGGTATTTTTATTATTTTGTAGGTATTTTATCACTTTTGTAGTACTTGCAATTAATCCTAACATTTTTATGAAAAAAATGATAAAAATATCCACAAAAGTTATAAAATTTTTATTGCAAAATGACCTACAAAAATTATAAAACCACTCATTAAAATAATATAAAATTTAAAGCTACATTACCAAAAAATAAAAAATCAGTACCATAGTCAAGTCCATTTTGTATGCATATTAATTATCATTTCAAATTCATATCTCCCCCCTCTCTGCCTCTCTCTATTTTAATCATCTATCGCTATTAGTGGAATCTCAAAATAGAAGATGTAACGCCACATGAAAGTCGGCACCATGGACCATATCCAGAAAGCCTTCCTAGTTCGTTCCTAAGATTGCACAAAATATAACTATACTAAAAGATAAAATAATTAAGCTTTCACGAATAAATACAACGGAATTCCCCACGTAAAGTGACAATAAATTCATTTTATTTCAAATACCACCAAAAATAAGATCCCTTGATTTTAAAAATAAATTGCCAAACAATAAGGGATATAAGCCAAATTTCACTGTTCGAAACTTAAAAACAATAATAAAAATCCAGTTGTTTGTGTAGAAACTAGAAAGTGAACCAAACCCATTAGTAGACTCAAATTTAAAACATTAATATGTACTCTCAAGCAAAATCTCCAGTATCCAAGCTGTCATCCCACTCCAATTGCTACTTCAACACCAATTCCTCCTCCAACCTGAAAAAAAAAACACACACAAATATGAATCAAAGGAAAAATAGGGAAAGAAACCAAATGCAGTCATCACATAAATTGAAATGTTTAACATTGTTCACAGATATGTACAGCCAAGGTAATGAGAATAAAATAGTAATTTACAAGAATCTTCAATATACCAAGCAAAGACTTTAACTGAACATAGTGCATCCAACCCTTGTAGGCCAACATATATCTAAATCAAATCAATATACACAAAATACACAAACTGTGAAACATGAAATACAAAAGAATTGATAAATCCACAACTAGGTCATTAAAGCAATACCTTTTGACAGCCCTCAACACCTCACCTCCAACAGCAATCGCCCAAACCCACCTAGCGTATCAACTTTTTCACCTTCGTTGTGACCTCCAAAATCACACGAAAAACAGCCACTAACACAATCCGACACACCAACCATATATTCCAAAGACTTGAGGTCATTTCTACGAATTTTGTGACCGAGTGCAACCAGCCCTCTTCCACCATCAATAGAAGACCTTAGGGTGGAAAACTTTTCTAAGTATTCACAGGGAAGGGTTCGAACTTGAGGAGCTGGTTTGGAGGGTGCTGGTTTGGAAGAGGTTGGTTTTGGGGAGGTTGATTTTGGGGAAGCTCATTTGGTAGGTGAAACGGGTTTCAAAGTTTCATTTCGATGACACTTGTATCGACTGTACTGGTTCCATTTTCGTCCATTGTGGAGAAATACATTAATGTGACACACCTTCATCTTTGGTCATAATGGTCACCCCTGTCACAGTCAAGTCAAGTCAAAAATACCATAGTAATTTTTCAATTATTCTCTCCTCATGTCTCATTTACCATTAAGTTTAGTTATGATAAAAAAAAGTTTGAATATAAAAACTAAATTAATTTTTTTGATTAAAAATAAATAATTTTTTTATTAATATTTTTTTTTTGGCTTTAGACCCCCAAAATGTCTTAGGGCGTGCCTTGTATGCTTGAGTATTTTTTGGTTTCATTTGTATTTGATATTATCGTTTGGGTTGACTGGTATTTAAGTGACTTATGGTATGGTGGTTTCAATTAGTATGGTTCTGTGGTGGGGAATATTCGTATTGAGATTTCAGGCTTAGTTGTTAAACTGTTGCACCCCTAGCAATGGTTGGATACCACATGTTTCCTCTCTATTACACGGTGATTGTGGAGACTTATTTCTTCCCTTTGTCAGCAATTCATCTCCATCATGTCATGATTCTCAAAATTCTGCGACGTGTCTCCACTCCCCACTTGTTCATATGTCGTCGTTGTTGCTGTCGCCGTCCCCGTCATCATTGGGCTCAAATCTTCTTCTTCCGGTCTAATGGAAATGCACTAATACTTAGTCAGGAAGAAAATCAAAGAAAAAAAGAGAGCAGAGAATATAATAAAGATATAGATTAAATACACTTGTTTCATACGGATAAGTCTACTGGAAAAAAAATAGTATCGTACCATTATTTATTATTTTTGTTGGTATTTTTATTATTTTTGTAGGTATTTTATCACTTTGTAGTACTTGTGATTAATCCTAACATTCTTATTAAAAAAATGATAAAAATATTCACAAAAGTTATAAATTTTTTATTACAAAAGGACCTACAAAAATTATAAAAACACTCATTAGAATAATACAAAATTTAAAGCTACAATACCAAAAAATAAAATATCAGTACCACAGTCAAGTCCATTTTGTATGCATATTAATTATCATTTCAAATTCATATCTCCCCCTCTCTCCCTCTCTCTATTTTAATCATCTGTCGTTATTATCTTATTTCAATTTTAATCTTTTGTCGTTATAATGGAATCTCCAAATAGAGGATGTAATGTCACATGAAAGTCGACACCATGGACCATATCTAGAAAAGCCTTCCTAGTCCGTTCCTAGGATTGCACAAAATATAATTGTACTAAAAGATAAAATAATTAAGCTTTCACCAATAAATACAACGGAATTTCCCACGTAAAGTGACAGTGAATTCATTATATTTCAAATACCACAAAAAATGAGATCCCTTGATTTTAAGAATATATGCCAAACAATAAGGGATATAAGTCAAATTTCATTGTTTGAAACTTAAAAACAACAATAAAATCCAATTGTCTATGTAGAAACTAGAAAGTGAACCAAACCCATTAGTAGACTCAAATTTAAAACATTAACATGTACTCTCAAGCAAAATCTCCTATATCCAAGCTGCCATCCCACTTCAATTGCTACTTCAACACCAATTCCTCCTCCTAGCTAGAAAAAAAACACACACACAAATATAAATCAAAGGAAAAATAGAGAAAGAAACCAAATGCAGTCATCACATCAGTTGAAATGTTTAACATTGTTCATAGATATGTACAGCCCACGGTAATGAGAATAAAATAGTAATTCACAAGAACCTTCAATATATCAAGCAAAAACTTTAACTGAACATAGTGCACCAACCCTTGTAGGCCAACATATATCTAAATCTAATCAATATACACAAAATACACAAATTGTGAAACAGGAAATGCAAAAGAATTGATAAATTCACAACTAGGTCATTGAAGCAATACCTGTTGACAGCCCTCAGCACCTCACCTCCGCCAACAATCGCCCAAATCGACCCAGCATATCAACTTTTTCACATTCGTTGTGACCTCCACAATCACACAAAAAACAACCACCAACGCAATCCGGCACACAAACAAACCAACCCAGTTTTCACAATCCAAGTCACATACAAACGACCTAGTTTTCACCATCTATTTTTTTTTTTCAAAACTTCTAGATTATATAAAACAGAATTTAAGGGGTCCATTGCCGAACAAGAACCATGGGCCATTTCTAACGCCACCACAAACAGACTACTACCATTATTCACATCTCCACCTAGAACCTCATCATCATGTCTGTCACCGAACTTCCTGCTATTCAAATTTGTGTCAACAACTTCAACTTCGGGTTTCCTGTTCCCGTTTTGTTTCTTGTCAGCAACCTCAGTTTTGGGTTTTTAGTTCCCGTTTTGTGTCTTACCCACAACTACCCTATTCCCGTTCTTTTGCTTAACCTCGTCATTGTGGGTCTTTTCCTTCCCCTTGCCCTCTTTCCCCTTTATTAGGACAAGAAATCCACCAACAGAAGAGCTACCAGAAGAGATATCCTTTCGCAACAGGCGAAACTTTTCCTTCAGAGATAAAACGGCAGAAATTAACGCATTGTGTGTACCACCAACCATATATTCCAAAGACTTGAGGCCGTTTTTGCGAATTTTGTGACCGAGTGCAACCAGCCCTCTTCCAAGGATTCGAACTTGAGGAGGCCAATTTAGAGGGTGCTGGTTTAGAAGAGGTTGGTTTTAGGGAGGCTGGTTTTGAGGAGGCTATTTTGGTGGGTGAAACCGGTTTCAAAGTTTCATTTCGATGACACTTATCTCGACTATAATGGTTCCATTTTCGTCCATTGCAGAGAAATACATTAATGTGACACACCTTCATCTCTAGTCACAGTGGTCACCCCTGTCACAATGAAGTCAAGTCAAAAATACCGTCGCAAATTTTCAATTATTCTCTCCCCATGTCTCAATTACCATTAAGTTCAGTTATGATAAAAAAAAAAGTTTGAATATAAAAACTTAATTAATTTTTTGATTTAAAAAAAATAAATTTTTATTAATATTTTTTTTTTTGGCTTTAGGCCCCCAAAATGTCTTACGGGCGTGCCTTGTATGTTTGTGTTGGGTATTTTTCCGTTACATTTGTATTTAATATTATCGTTTGCATTGACGGGTATTTGAGTGACTTATGGTGTGGTGGTTTCGGTTTGTATGCTCCTATGGTGGGGAATATTCGTATTGAGGTTTCAAGCTTAACTGTTAAGCCGTTGCACCCCTAGCAATGGTTGGCTACCACGTGTTTCCTCTCCATTACATGGTGATTGTGGAGACATCTTTCTTCTCTTTGTCACTGATCCATATCTCCATCATGCCATGATTCTCAAAATTCTGCCACGCGTCTCCACTCCCCACTTGTTCACGTGTCGTCGCTGTCATTATCCCCGTTATCATTGGTCTCAAATCTTCTTCTTCCGGTCTAATGGAAATGCACTAATACTTAGTCAGGAAGAAAATCAAAGAAAAAGAAAAAGTGGAAAATATAATAAAGATATAGATTAAATACACTTCTTTCATACGGATAAGCCAACTGGAAAAAAAATAGTATCGTACCATTATTTATTATTTTTGTAGGTATTTTATCACTTTTGTAGTACTTGTGATTAATCCTAACATTTTTATGAAAAAAATGATAAAAATATCCACAAAAGTTATAAATTTTTTATTACAAAAAGACCTACAAAAATTATAAAAACACTCATTAAAATAAAATAAAATTTAAAGCTACAATATCAAAAAATAAAAATTCAGTACCATAGTCAAGTCCATTTTGTATGCATATTAATTATCATTTCAAATTCATATCTCCCCCTTCTCTCCCTCTCTCTATTTTAATCATCTGTTGTTATTATCTTATTTCGATTTTAATCTTCTGTCGTTATTAGTGGAATCACCAAATAGAAGATGTAACACCACATGAAAGTCGGCACCATGGACCACATCCAGAAAACCTTCCTAGTTCGTTCCTAGGATTGTACAAAATATAATTGTACTAAAAGATAAAATAATTAATCTTTCACGAATAAATACAACGAAATTCCCCACGTAAAGTGACAATAAATTCATTTTATTTCAAATACTACCAAAAATAAGATCCCTTGATTTTAAGAATATATGACAAACAATAAGGCATATAAGCCAAATTTCACTGTTCGAAACTTAAAAACAACAAGAAAAATCTAGTTGTTTGTGTAGAAACTAGAAAGTGAACCAAACTCATTAGTAGACTCAAATTTAAAACGTTAACATGTACTCTCAAGCAAAATCTTCTATATCCAATCTGCCATCCAACTCCAATTGCTACTTCAACACCAATTCCTCTGGAAAAAAAACACCCACACAAATATAAATCAAAGGAAAAATAGAGAAAGAAACCAAATGCAGTCATCACATAAATTGAAATGTTCAATATTGTTCACAAATATGTACAACCCACAGTCATGAGAATAAAATAGTAATTCACAAAAACCTTCAATATATCAAGCAAAGACTTTATCTGAACATAGTGCATCCGACCCTTGTAGGCCAACATATATCTTGATCAAATCAATATACACAATATACACAAACTGTGAAACAAGAAATGCGAAAAAATTGATAAATCCACAATCAGATCATTGAAGCAATACCCTTTAACAACCCTCAGCACCTCATCTCCACCAACAATCACCCAAACCCACCCAGCATATCAACTTTTTTACCTTCGTTGTGACCTCCACAATCACACAAAAAACAACCACTAACACAATCCGACACACATACAAACCAACCTAGTTTTCATAATCCGGCTCACATACAAACCAACCCAGTTTTCACAATCTGGTCTCTTTTTTTTTCAAAACTTCTAGACTATATAAACCGGAATTTAAGGGGTCCAATGCCGAACAAGATCCACGGGCCATTTCTAACGCCACCATGAACAGACTACTACAACCATTCTCATCTCCACCCGGAACCTCATCATCATGTCTGTCACCGAACTTTTCGCTACTCAAATTTGTGTCAGCAACCTCAACTTCGGGTTTCCCGTTCTCATTCTATTTCTTGTCAGCAACCTTAGCTTCGAGTTTCATGTTCCCGTTATGTTTCTTACCCACAACCACTCTATTATTGTTCTTCTGCTTAACCTCGTCATTGTCGGTCTTTCCCTTCCTCTTCCCTTAGTTCCCCTTTATTAGGACAGGAAGTCCATCAACAACAGAGCTACTAGAAGAGATATCCTTCCGCAATAGGCGAACCTCCTCCTTCCCCTTTATTGAGGCCATTTCTACGAATTTTATGACGGAGTGCCACCAACCTTCTTCCACCATCAATAGAAAAACGTAGGGTGGAAAAATTTTCTAAGTATTCCCAGGGATGGTTTCGAACTTAAGGAGGCTGGTTTGGAGGGTGTTGGTTTAGAGGAGGCTGGTTTTGGGAAGGTTGGTTTTGGGGTGGCTGGTTTGGTGTGTGAAACGAGTTTCAAAGTTTCATTTCAATGACCTTTGTCTCAACAGTAATGATTCCATTTTTGTCCATTGCGAAGAAATACATTGATGTGACACACCTTCATCTCTGGTCACAGTTAAGTCAAGTCAAAATTGCCATCATAATTTTTTAATTATGCTCTCCCCTGTCTCACTTACCATTAAGTTCAGTTATGATAACAAAAATTTGAATATAAAAACTTAATTAATTTTTTTAATTTTAAAAAATAAATAAATAAATTTATTATTAATATTTTTTTTTGGCTTTAGACCTTTAAAATGTTTTAGGGCGTGTCTTGTATGCTTTGTGTTGGGTTTTTTTCGATTACATTTGTATTTGATATCATTGTTTGGGTTGACTGGTATTTGAGTGACTTATGGTGTGGCATTTGAGTGACTGATTTGTATTTGGGCCGGATCACATAATACATTAGGTGCAATTGTGATGTCATGATCTTATAGATTAATAAATTGAATGAAGTATTAAAAGACAACAAGAGAGTTAGAGATGAGAACAAAGAACTAGAGCAAGACAATGACAATGAGGGAGAGAAAAAGTTGGAAAGAGATGGTGAGAGTGGAGGAAAAAATAGTGAAAATAAATTTGAGAGAGATTGCTACTTTTAAAGTTATAAATTGTTACTTTTAGATTTTTTTAGAAGGTTTTGTTATATTTTAGGACTTTATATATATATAAGAGATCAATGAAAATATTGTTACATTTTCAGACTTTCTATAAAGTTTTAGATAGATTTCTGAAATATATTGGGCTTTTAACTTGGTCTATTCAAAAAAGTTTCATAACATGAAGCTGAATTAAGGACTGAAAATTAAATTAGGGATGTAGAAGACTATTTTAATGGTCGGGCCTGCTATGCCTCCTCCCATTCAAATGATCGAAGTGTTTGTGCATCTCATAATAATTGTAGTCTCTGTTTGTGCCTCATTATCGAGTCTTTGTCTATAGAATTGATTAAGTGAGACAAATTAATTAATCGATGAAGCGTCAAGATTAAAGGTAATATATGTGTTACTTCATATTTTATACATTTTTTAATTTGTCAAAAATAATGCGTGGACCATTACAAGGTATTGTTTTAGTAAAGATGTTTAATGTTACAACGTGGTGTAGCATAATTTTTTCTTTTAATAATTTAGGCATTTAACATATAATAAACATTACATATATATTATTTCTTACTCATACTATCTGAGTACAATTGTTCAACACTAAAATCAATACGAATTATAAATATATATAGATCATCATGGCTAAGTACACATCTTTTAGCAAACAGATTTGCACATCTGTTTGTCTCTTTCATCTCTTACTTAAATCGCACTTTTCGGAGCATAATATATATTTTATTACTATTTTTATATTCTTTTTTGTTTTGTGTGTTCTTTGTGAAAATTGTGGTATAAGATTATTGACTATCAATATGTATTCATAATTTTTTGTTATCTTGTTATTGAATTAGTTTTTAAATTTTTTATGATCCATAACTTATTTATGTATGTAACGTTCACCTACTATTTTGTTGTATTTATTTTATTTGATAACTACTTTATTGAAAGTCTTTTTTTATATTAAATTAATTTTTATTGTGGATCCTTTATGAGATTGAACAATTTAATTAGTTGGTGTTTTTATGTTTAAATGAGAACAAAATAGAGTTTGAGAGAAATATAAAATGTGTTTGATTTATTTAATTGTTATTAAAGTGTTAACCATTTTTTTTTGCTTTAATAAATGTATATGTGTAAGGTGGACTGCACTTTTAGACCTAATTCTAAATTTTATTTTGTTGACTTAATCTTTCATAAATTTTTTTTGTTAAGCTAAATTATAATGGGTTTTAATCTTTGATATATACTTAATCATTGAACTTTAAAATTTGGAGCTTTTTGTGTTGGGGGCCTAAAGCCTGTGCTTTTTCGACTCTACTGTTCAATCGGTCATGGTGCCATCAGTACTCTTGTACCATCAATAGAACAATGTGGTTAAAGTGATTGTGGAATCTGGAGAGAGTTTTAAGATAGTATAATTGTATGCTAATTATAATTTTTTAAGAAAAATATATTTTTATTTTTGATTTTATATCAATAAATTGTACAATAGAACATGAATTTTGGTTGTAAAATTTAAAATATTAGATATTCTATCTTTGATTAGAGTGTTTTTGATTTAAGTATAATATTTTAAACTTAAAAAGTCTAAATATTATACACCTACAAACTTTAAGGGGTCTGAATATAATTTACTAATAGAGATTGACAGCAGGGTTTAAGTGTTAATGCGTGTATAAATCTCAAAGAGACTATATATAATATTTCAAATATCAAGAAATTTAAATGATTAAGTGAAAAACCTCATAAGATCATCTTAATTTATCAATCAATCTCACGTTTGATAACTACCCTAGAAGAATTACTCCACAAGTTTGCCTTACTGGCCTCAATTACACACTATCTCGAGGTATATATAATACAGAGGATATAAAGAGGGTAGTCAGAATCAAACCCACATCGTTAGCATAGAAGGCTAAAAGTTATAGTCAACGTGGATTCATCATTTTTAAAGTCTCTCTAAATCAAAACTGAACATAAAACTTTGGTTTCATTCAGCTCTGAATGACTCCCTATTAAATCCCAATTGTGTTAGGGATTTCATATTTTATTTTTTTCATTCAACAAAAACTTTATATCTCCGACTTCTTTTTGATATTGTTGGTTGACAAACTCTGACGAGAAAGGGATTTCTTTTTTGATTGTGGGGTATAACTCTATCTATGTTTCTATGGTGGGGATGGGCTCGGTGGTAGACCTGTTGGCTGGTGGCAAATCATGGTTAGGACAGAGAGAGAGAGAGAGAGAGTGAATTACACAGATTTTAGAGTTTTGGTGGCTATGGCTAGGAGCTGACCGTGGAGGATCGTTGGGGTGCTGGAATTAAGATTAATTTTATCAATTTAATACTCTTTTAATATTTTAACTTTATCATTTCAATATCAAATTGACATTGGTGAAGTTTGGATTGTGACAAATAGTGAAGGCTAAAATTTTTCCAAGCTTACAAATTGGATGAATGTATTTGTGTGTGTGTGTGAGAGAGAGAGAGGGAGAGAATTAGTGTGTGTCTAATATGTAGAAGATGAAATTATAAGACAAGAGGGTTGTTTGGTTTCAAGCTTAGCTTTGCTTGGAAAGAAGAATACAAGTATTTAACTGCAAGGCTTACATATAGTTAAAGAGTAAAAATGTCATTGTATTTGTTGATATCATCATTTTTTGGATGTCATTTTGTCCCCGAAGGCAGGGGTAGTATGTGAAATGAACATTTAAATTATAGGGGATGAGAATAAGATTTGAGAAATCATAGAGAATGTTCTTATAGTTAGATTATTTTTCAAAGGTTGTCAATTAAAATTTACCCAAATATTAATATATAGTAATATTTTAATATTTATTTAGTTGTATTTATATTATTATATTGTATGCATTCACTTACTGATTATTTTTGCCCAAGACTCCATATTTGTCAGGCCGCCCTGATGAAATGTTCTACTGATGGATTAAGGTGTATTCTCAATGCATTCACTACACAACTATGCCAAGTAATACAAACTCTTTAATCTTCATATCTCTAAGCAACAGCCCGACTGAACATGGTCGGAGTACTCCTCCGGTACCTCCAATTTTGTCCATTTATGATTTTTCAAACCCATTACGTAGACTCTGTGGGACTCGTCGAATCTTGTACAACCAATCACTAACACCTTGTTCGGTCATGCTGTCACGAAGGCGGTACGTTGTACCTCAGTTGGAAGTTCAGCTACAACCTGCCATGTGGACCTCTGTAGGATCGACACATCACCAGCCCGGCACATAAAGAGTCTTTCATCTCCACCGTCCGCACAAGTCATTGGACACGTGGCCCAAGAAGTCATCTTGGACTTGGTCCCACTGCCATGTGGCAACATCAAAAGCTTCGGCACTTCTTTCAAAGCTACCTTGCATCTCTGTGGGGTACCCACCAATGACATGGAACTTGCCACGGTGGAACACCCCCTTGCTACTCATCTCGCTCCCTTGCCATATCAGGTAGTTGGACCCACTCATCTATTGTCACGTCATACATCATTACAAATCTCAATGCATTCTTATTATAGTCATGTCCACCAGCAATGAACACCGTTCGATCAGAATTAGACGCACAAGCATAAAACGATCTTTGACCACCTGGCATATCGGTCCCACGATGCCACTTGGCGGAAAGAAAATTGTAAATGAACACAGCATTTGAAACCTCCCAAGTCACCGGATTCCACCCTCCAATCACCACCAGGTTCAAGCCCAGTGCGGCACGGTGGCAAAACATCGGCAACCTATCGGAGAACCCGGCCAGTGGTGGCAGCTCACTCCAACCACCCGTTTGCTCCTCATAAACTGTGAGTCGAGAAACGGGTGTAATTAAATACTTCATAAATTCATAGTTATGGATAGGGTCAATTCATGCTTGTGCCATCACTATCACTATGACTCGTTGCTGCATCTCTATCTTCCAGTTCTGACATATTGATGCAATGGAAGGAAAGTGTTTATAGGGGACTCGAATCAGACAATCGAAGCCAACGTCGTTTGGAAGACCGGGAATGAGCTCCATGACCAGATATACAGCATATACCACAACACAACTTGTTTAGTAAGAAAAGAAGGGTAGATAGATAAATTATAGAATGAAGAATGGATGTGTTTTGCTTTTATAGATATAAATAGTGGGTGGTCCATTCCATTGTGAGAATGTCCATGTTAAAAGGTTTGGCAGTCTTCTAGAAGGTTAAGGGATATTGGAGTTAAAGAGAAAGAGACTTTATGGTAAGACATAGCATTGGCCATACAACGTTTGTTATCATGTTGTTTTCTTCCACGGATTTTGCGTTTGCCTGTTTCTGCCGTCCACCGAAAAGCAATAAAAAAAAAAAAAAATTGATACGTTTGAGGGTCTAGTGGTGTATAGTTTTATCATCCACAGGTGCACAAACTCAAAAAGTCTGTGGGGATTGATGGGATTTTTCTGAAATATCCTATGATGAAGACACGTGTCCTCGGTTTTACTAAAACACTTGCTAAGATCAAGCACCATCAGCGCACAAGGTCCTCACCCCCGAGGTACTCGTCATATAGGATCATACATTCAGTATATTTTACAATCGACACGTGGCCTCGGTCTGATATGTACCTCGGTCGGCATACCTCCCTCGGTCCCCGAGATCATCCTTTCCTCGGTGCCGAGAGGTACCCCCATCCTGGACGCTTCCTCTACTCCAGGATAAGCTATTGACGTACAGGTCATTAGCCTAGGCTAGGCTAGGCTATTCATCATGACCTCGTCTTACACAAGTAATGTCAGAACGTACTGGAAATACAGAGGTCACAGCCAATAGGGGATGGACGCGTGGCATATGATATCACATCAAAGACAGACAAACCGCATGCCGTTGCTGACACGCGACTTGGGAAAGCAAACAATTAATTGCACCATTCCTTGATGAGACCGGATTCAATGCGGTAAGGCTCGGAAATGAAAAGCAATAAATGCTCCTATTACAGAGCATTTATTGCATCCTCCCCGAGAGGAGCACATTGTACCGTCGGCATCCCGACGATCCAGCATTGATTGCTCGGGGCCCCGAGCAGTTAATTAGAGAAGACATTCCTCATCAGAATCAATGCACACGCTACCTGAGCCTAATGATCACCTACCGACGACACTGACAGCAATCATGAGCTTTTAAGGTATAAATACTCTTTGCAAAAGGCAAAGCGGGTATGCAACAACAAACTCTTTACCACAATACACACACAGTGTTTTCTCTATCCTCTCTCTCTCTCTCTCTCAAAGACTGACTAGATCGTCGGAGGGGATACGCCGGAAAACACTCCGACCTCCTTCTAACTTGTTCTTCTTTGTTCCAGGAACCTCTTCCAGCTTTACAGGATCGCTCTTCCTTTCCCAGGGTCTCCCGTTGCCGTTCCAGGTTACCACCGTACCTTGCAGGCTGTCCCAAGCAGCGTGTTTGGTCACTCCACCGGCTCACTCGAAATTCATCAGGGGAGAGATCTGTTCCCGTTTTTTATATTGTGCAGGATCTTGCACGCACAATCTGGCGCCGTCTGTGGGAAACGACTAGTTTTCCTAGTTTTTTTCTCTATAAAGAACAGTGACCATGGTGAACACTCGACAGAAAGGGAAAGGACCCCACCAAAGGAGTCTCGAGTTACAAGCTCCCTGTCATCACGGAGGGAGGGATCACACCAATACGAATAAAAGTGTCTCTACTCGGTCGAGAGGGGTTACCCCTCAAACCAGTATGGGGATCAGGTCAGGGGGGTCAGCCCCCTTGGCTCGTCAGCTGGCGGAGGTGATTGAAGAAAAATCGATAACTCCAGTCGCCTCAGCTAACCGAAGTTCTGAGATGAGTGCCTCGTACTCAGCTTCATTATTCGAAGCCTTGAATCCTAGCCGAATGGCCTGCTCCGCAATAATCCCATCTGGAGAGGTCAGCAGGACACCGATTCCGGACCCCCTTACTATTTGACGAACCGTCCACACACAAAAGCCATGGCGATCCTTCATAATTCGTTGGAGACTGGAGTTACCAAATTTGGTTAACTCCAAAAAATTCATAACTTAACCTGAAAAAAAACGGTACTTAAGTAAAAATTAATTTTCTACAAGCCTGTTTGCCTTTTTGCACTCAATATTGGGCCTATTTAAAATTAGCTTAAATAGGTAATTTTTCATGGTTTTGGAGTAAAATAAGACAGGTATGTTTCAACCTTGGCTTTTTTACCAACTTATGTATTAGCTTTTTAGATCCAAAAAATCTAGTTAAACTGATTCAAGAAACTGATTTTATGAGTTTTTCTTCCATTTTTTTTGGAGTTTTGTTATGAGTTTCACATAATCTTTTAGTTTATTATATTTATAAAATATTATTAGGGACATAAAAATTTTTAAAATTTATAATTTGGGAACTATTATACATAATTCATACATACATGTAAGTATTTTGTTATTTTCACATCAAAAGCCAAAAATGCTAAAAACAAATACTTCAAACGGACTTTTTTCAATTTTTTTTAGTTTTTTAAAAAATTCTCCGAACGGTTTTAGAGAATTTTTTTAACTCTAATTTTGTTACAAAACTTTTCAAACCACAATTTTTTACCTAAAAAAATCGAACTCCAAACAGACCCATTATCACTGGTCACACCTCATGCTAGTGCTAGCTCACGGATTCAGCCTTGGGAAGGATGGTTGGAGATGGATTTTGTCACACACCACATGGTAATACCAGGTGATGCAAACAATCAACAAGAAATTGTCACCACAGTAACTTGAGGAACATACAATTTTACAAAATGATTAGGAGACAATTTTTTCATTTAGAATGTAGAATATTTTATAAGTGATATATACACTATCCGACGATGTAATGTGATATATATATATATATATACTACTATAAAATTGCTCTTAAATAGGGGATCAAAATAGAAAATACTGACTATATGATATTAAAATCTTAGAAAACCAAAAACGAAATGAACTTCATGTAATCAGACTCAGCTCTAGTTTCTACCAATGGGCGTAGTAGACGGGGCTTGAAGAGTACGGTGGCCACCATAGAGGTCCAACTAGTGGGCATCATCATCAGCAGCAAATAAATTAATGTTAATGGCAATTACAATTACAATTGTACATTATCCTTGAAACAATCGTCATTGAACTTGATATTGACTTGAGAAAGTAAAGTCTATGGTTTATGATAGATATTGAGTTAATTGTGATTCGACATTGAGGTTTAGCATTGATCTCATTGTAGGTGATATTATAATTACTAATATATATTTTTGGTTCAATAGTCAAGGATGTTTGAACTAGCATACGCGCATCTTGATTAATTTTCTCTCTGGTTTGATCAAGGCAGACCATCTATATCAGAACTAAGACACTCATGAGGGATAAACTTATTATGGTCTGGTCCCCAAGGGTGGTTAAAATTAGAATTCATGGCATCTGAATTTACAATTCATCTATATTATAATAATGTAAGATTGTTACATTTTGAAAAAATAATAAAATTATTTTGTTATCTCAAAATGGGTGCATGGGACGGTGACTCATATGTCCCTAAAAAGTAAAAACTGATGGAGACTCTAATCTTTGTGACCTTGGTGCGTATGCGAAGGATCAAGGTGAGTTCCTTACTCCATGTGCGTGTATAGATGCCTAAGCTGATGGAGACCCATATCTGTTAGTTACCCCATTTAGATAGCTAAATGTGCAAGGGAATAAAACAGTTCACACACACACACACACACACGCAGAACCCACAGCCAAATATTTAATACAATGGTTACAATATGTCATTACCGCTATATGGTATAATTAATCAATAATAAATAAAAAAAAATTGGATAAGTGAAACCAACTAATCCTAAATAAAAGTTTTGAATGTGAAAGTAAGTAATTGTTATACAATTTAATGGGATTCGCTAGTTCTACATAGTTATTCATAATTGGTCGGTTACACGACGTTACGATGATAACATGGTGTAACAATTACATTGAATATTATTCAACGGTTGAGCGCCAGCATGGTTTAGGAAAATGTTTAGCAAACAAACGATGATTTAAGGAAAATTGTCTCCCTTGGCTCAGCGATTATTGATCATTGCCTATTGTGAGGGAATCATTTAAATATAATAGATTGTACGTGGCTGAATTCATTCACGATGAATAATTGTTTTATAATGAATCAAAACGAATTTAGAATTGGAGATGAGCCTTACACCATGTTATTGACTAACCCTTCCGATTTATCTATACTCCTGAACAATTACACCAAAACCTCAAATTTTTGTTTAATATATTTTCTGGTAGTACTGTAATCGTGCCTCGATTTTTAAACATCTGGAATACAACTTGAAAGCACAAGTATCTGCACATAGCTAACTGAAATATTTCAGTAAGATGATCAAGGAGAATAATATACTAGCTGAGCCTAATTAAGCCCACAGGTGATGTCAACCTGCATATGCCTAGCTTGAGTTCTTGGCTATCCTTTTTATTTCGTCATTTTCAAAATATATATATTCACTCTGTATGTGTATATGAGAGAGAGAGAGAGAGAGAGAGAGAGAGAGAGAGAGAGAGAGAGAGAGAGAGAGAGAGAGAGAGAGAGAGAGATCATATATGTCTAAACAACAACCTGACTGAACATGGCCTGAGTATTCCTCTGGAGCCTCTAGTCTGGTCCACCTCTGATTATTTGAATCCATTACATAAGCCCTGTGGGGCTCACCAAATTTTGGAGAACCAATTACTAATAATCTATCGTGCCACCTTGTCAAATAAGTTGCGCTGATCACTTCAATTGGTAGTCCAGTTATGACTTGCCAAGTGGCATTCTCTAGTACAACCACATTACCTTCCCGACACATGTACAACCTCCCATCCCCACCGTCCACGCAAGTCCTTGGACAAGTTGCAATTCCCAAGAAGTTGCCAATTTGATTAATTTTTCTAATAATGTCCCAAATGTATCTTCTTCCCCAAATTGATTAATTTGTCTAATAATGTTGGAGAAATGAGAAAAGAGACCGTCAAATAGTTAAAACAGAAGAGTGAAAAGTTGAAGACATAGGAGAGTGGTAATATGTGAAATATAAAATAAGAAAAAATTATAATAAATATAAGTCAAAATAGCAGAATTAAGCAAAAAATAAGTGAACATTTCCCAAACTCTCTTTCCATAGATAAGTTTGAGGCCCATAGACATTCTCGGCAAGAAAAAAAAACTATCATAAAAAGAAGGCAAGTCTGACAAAGCAGATATATACAATTTTATTCAACTTTTCAGTAAAAACAGAGGCCATCATCAGACAGATAAATACCAATGCAAGAGGACTTTTTTGGTTTAAATGCTGCCAGCGCCAGGGTCTGGGCCTCAGGGCCGCCACAAAACATTAGTAGTTTTATATTGGATAAAACTTAACTTGTACGCATGAAACATGGGCCTTAAGCCCACGATTGCTTTCACTTTGAAGCTTCTGGATGGCCATAGAATCCCACAAATCTCCATCTATCATCATGTTCCTAATTGATAACAGCTTCAATATGAAAATCCGAATAACTTTTTGACATTGACCTTCAAGTCTCTGTGCCATAATAAAGCTAACCCCTCTGCTCTACCTCTTTATTCAACTATCAAACCATGGGCAAATCCAATTTTCCATTTTACACGCTCGAAGTCATTCAAACTCAATCTAGTTTCCATCAAGAAAACTAGTTGTGGAACTTCCTTCTTCACTAGGTCATGAAGAGCAAAACTGAACAAGGGTTCCCAAGCCCTCGGCAGTTCCAAGATACACCTATCATAATGCTCGGCGGGACTGCAAAGCAGTCTCCACCATTGAACTAGGTAATAAATTCGAATTACCATGCTGGGAAGAAATCTTCTTTGAAACAGGAACCTTCTTCCCTGGATTAGAATCATCTGAAGCTAATTCTTTCCTATTTTCCCCAACCGTGATCTCTAGAATATCCCAGTTCTCCTCCCTAATTGGAACAGGCGATGTTCTTTTCCATTTTCCGTTTTCCTGCTTCGATAGCTTCTGAGGTTTATTGATTTGCAGATCAACGCTTGAAACAATCCATGCATTATCTAAAGAAATCCCTAAATCAGAAACGGGATCCGGATTGCCTTGGGCTGATCCTTTAGAAAAAGGTTTCTTTGGCTGACTTGGTTTAGCTTTGTTCCGTTTGGGGCTCCCTACTTCAATAGCCTGACACAAGCCCAACTCAAGAGAGACCTGGTCATCGGATTTGAAACTCACATCCACCAGACTGGACTCATCAAGGGCCTAGGTCAGGTAACCCCTCTTAATACCTAGATTAGGAACCAACACTTCTTCCCGCCTTCTATTACCCAATTCAAATGAACTAGGGTCAGACAGTCGACTAACCCCCTCAACTGCCAATGACTCAGCATCCACGATACCAGACATACTGGGCAAAGAGAGGGAACCTGTAAACGTAGAAATCACCAGAATAGGTTTGAGAGTAAACACCGATCCTCTCTTAAAAGATATTGAACTTGAACTCGAATTCGAACAAAACAACTATCGACCGTCAGACCTATTTTTTCAAGCTAGGTAATGAGACCTATGAGCAAACCCAACGCATGGGGGTCTAAGGGTAAACACCGATCCTCTCTTGAAAGATACTGAACTTGAACTCAAATTCAACAAAACAACTATCGCACTTCGGACCTATTTTTTCAAGCTAGGTAATGAGACATGTGAGCAAACCCAACGCATGAGCTCCCCTAATATATATAAATAACAAATGTATCAGATCAATTTATAACAAAAATATCCCAATTTGACATAACAACCACCTTTAGCTAATATAATATGATGAAAATTTGAATATTTTCCTTCTTCATTTCTTGATCTAGTTATGTTAAAAGAATTTTACACTGGGTTTTTGCCTAAGCAAGATGGATTTTACTTTATGAAAAGCCAATGAATGGTTTTGGAAAGGACAAAAGAGAACTGTAACTATTGAATTTCTAGTTCACAGAAGAATTTCACAAACACAATAAATAACACAAGTAGGTTGAGATCATTAAACGCAATTAATTGAACAAATCGAGTTAGAATTTACTAGTACTCAACACATCCTAAATAATAAGACTTGGAACACGGCTCAATTGTTAGGGTGGAGTGGTGGCGTGGGGTTGGGGTTGGGGGAAGTTTGGGGAAAAGTCCAGTACGCCATACATCACGACTTCAACCCCATTTTACATAAGAACAGTTCAAGACAAATAACAGCCGAAACCCAAGAAAACAATTTATTTTTTTTTGAACAGACCAAGAAAACAATTTCAAAACAAGCAAAAAGAAAGCAAAACGTAAAAAATTAAAGCTCAATGACCATGAAATATAACATGATACACTATCAACTATGAGCTACATACTACCAGCCTATCCTACTCATTCGTATTTTCAGGGAGCAAAAGGGAATCAAAATTCAGCTCACTTCAGCCAGCAGGACTCTTCAGACAAGGCAAGCCTTCATGTTACATAGCTAAAATAAGAGGAATTGCTGCTACTCGCTTTGGCAGTCATCAATGTCCATGAATTCACCAGTAGTCCTGGGAAACCACATATGGCGAGCTGTCAGTTACATCATCTTCCACAAGGACGCTTGATTTGCTATTCTCAGTTAAGTATTTCTTGCAAATCTGAATCATTAACTCATGCATGAATTGGCCATAAAAAGTATAGAAAGAAGCAAAACATTCAACAAGAAGATTGGCAAGCATTCTGGAATGCTTCTCACTTTTTCCCATTCTTTGAAAAATAAGGCCAAGTACCAAGTTTGGTTACTGTAAATCAGAGATGGTCGGAAGAGTGAACCGGGTATTACAAAAAGTGGTTGCACCCGTATCCAAACCTGACATCTTATCAGCTTGAGATTTTACCGATGCACAACCAATTGCACCTTTGTTTTACTAACTCCTCCAAGCCAATAAAAGGAGTAACAAAAATAATATTGGGCAGAACCCAAACAAAAAGTATTTGTAAATTAAATGAACTAGAAAACTTCATCAAAATATCATAGGAGGCATGCTTCAACTGACAACCCTAGAAAGTATCACCACATTGATATGTATAAAAAAACTCACCACCATGTGATTCACGAAAAGCAAAAAAAAAGTCATCTTCCCCATGGTGATAAAAGTAGCACTTCAAAAAACAAAGAATAAGAAGTTGTACCTATTATACGACAAGAAGGCGTCACCTATTGTTCCTACAACCTTATTCCGTACCTTACGCACACATATCTGGACGAAGACAGTTCAAAACTTTTGAAGATTAGAATATCATACTCCAATCATTACACAAATGAATGTGTAAAATGCAAAAACTGGAGACAAATCGAACCTGCACTAGATCAATAGGGCCAGCCTCTGGATCCCTGTTACGATGAATAACTATCCCATTGTCACATTTATTTATAAAGTGTGCACTTCCACTGATGTCATATAAATTTGGCGGACTCCCCATCCACTGGTGCAACTGTTACAAATCTAAGGTTTAAAAAGAATGACAGGTATCTAGTAAAATACAGGTTTTAAATTTGCCAACCTGTCTTGGATGTGCTACAAACCAAACATGGCATGAGTGATGTTGAGCAAATCGTTTGATCTTTGTCAGCATCTGACTAACATATTCTGTTTCAGTCCTATTGCATATCAAATTAGCAATCAAAAAAGGCACTTCAAGAGGACTACCCAGAATAAGAAAGCAAGTTAGAGTAGAGATATCTTATGATTGTACACAAAAATGTTTAGATTCTCCTAAGCATCCTTTCATCACTCATTAATTAACTAGCTTATTTTCTCGCCTAGCAATAGTTTATATGAGAAGCCAATCACATACAGCTAGGTACAAACAGGATAAAAACTGTAACTACAACTGCAATAAGTGTGACAGCCCGCAGAAAATATATATATAATTCAATTGTTGGGTCAAATTATGATTTTTTGTTAAGAAAAGGCTGTTAGTGCAATTAACAAATGTGTGAGGCGGTGCATCTAGGGTTTCTCTTAGTATATATTCATGTGAATGTAGGCTGTCAAAATAGAATAAGAACAAAAAAATAAAAAAAAGGGAGAGAGAGAGAGAGAGAGAGAGAGAGTCATCTGTTATAGACCAGGGATTGTTAGGGTCCATTGTTATGGAATTTAGCAGTGGTGGTATGTTTAAGTGTTCATTACTATTGAAGTCAACAGTGGAACCAAGATCAATTGAGAATGCTGGTAATGGTATTCATATGGATTGAAATTCATGTAAGTGGTTTATCTCATAATATGCTCTATTCGTAAACCTCTTTCCAAAGAGTCCTTTTACTGTTATCGTCATTGTAGTCTGGTCTATTGTTTAACAGTTAATTATTGATATTCATCCAGGCCTCTGTTTGATGTGTCTTTGTATTGGTTGTGTGAAAAATATTTTGTTGGTAAGAACGTGGAATGATTGGGACCTATTAGCACATGCGTCATGCGTATTCGATGACACAGATATGGTTTGAGATGTAAATGTGGCCCAAAGAAGCGTATTAAAATAGGATGTACCAGTGTTATTTAAGGCGTAAAGCGAACCGAAGCGACCAAGGCTCCTAACGCCTATGCGAGAAGCGAGAAGCGAAGCGACACGCTTTACCGAAGCAAAGCGAACAGTTAAAAAAAATATATATTTTAGTTTAATTACTTCTAAACAATCTAAGTTCTAATTTTATATATACTAAATATTTAAATGCAAGTAAAACCATAAACATTTAAATTAAAAAAAATACTAATAATATCTCAAATCTTAATAACAGTCATAACTTAAACATTTAAATTCAAACAAATACTAACAATTGTATACATTTTCATATTGACAGGGTAGGACAACAAAAGAAGCAGAATCAGGACAACAGCAAAATTAGCAACAAAAAAAAAAAGAAGTAGAATGAGGATAAAAAAAAATAAAAGCAACACAGGACAGCAAAACCGAAGCAGCAACAGAATCAACAAAAAAAAATAGAAGCAAAATGAGTTAAAAAAAAAACAGAAGCACAATGATCATGACAGGAGCAGAATCAATTGTAAACAATTTCATATGTAATTATATATTGAATAAAAAAAAGCAGAACAGAGGCACATTTCACATGTACTAAAATAATTAAACATGGTATAAGCATAGACCACTTTTTGGTACCATTTGTATATATATAAGAAAAGGAAAAAGTATAACCAAGACATATCAGAGACACTTCTTTGTAGAAGAATCTATTATTTACCCCCATTTCTGATACTCCTGCTTCTTTTTTTATCATAATTGTCATGCAGTGCAGTCGCCTGACTCCCACATTCCACAAATATTCTAAATGAATTCAGCAACACAAGGAAAAAAAGGAATGTATTTTGTTCGAAACATTGTTTATTAAAAAAAAAAAAAATAGACCAGCAATAGTCTAAAAAAAAAGTCATTAATGATTAAAAAATAAAAGAGACTACTAACCTGTAATCAGAAAAAAAAAAAAAAAAAAAAAAAAAGTTGAAGCAGAATCGCTTTTTATAATAAAGCGTTCGCTTTTTCGCTTTTTTGCTTTTTTCGCTTCTTCGCTTTTTCGCTTTTTCGCGCTTTTTTCTCGCTTCACTCACGTTCGCTTCGCCTGGGGTCCTCCAGGCGAGATAAGCTCGCCTCGCCTCGCTTCTCGCCTAGGCGAGCTTTTCAAAACACTGGGATGTACTGTGTAATGCCTAACATGTAGCTGAGATAAACCAAGTATGAAGCCATGAGTGATTTAAAAGATTGAATCATTAGGTTTTATATGATTTTATGAAGGGATTTGTGCTAAATACACATTTTATTTGATGATTTTGTGATTGATTGTTGGATTATCGTTTGACCTTATGACTTTGCATATTGTGTTTTAAATTACTTACTAGATCTCCCAAGCTCACCCCCATTTACCGCCTCAGATATAATTGACTTCAGAGCATAAGTCGATAGAGGATGATTTGAATGAGTGAAGAATTAAATATTGTAATTTTTATTGAAGAAATATGTAATATTTGACGTCAATTGAAATTTAAATTTGGGAGATTTATCAATTATTTGAAGTATTAGTGCTCTTTATGGATTGAAATTGATGGGTTTGAGTGCGTGCACTGGACCCAAGGGAATCGAGTTCGGGGTGTGATAGAATGGTATCAAAGCTTAGAGAAGTGGGCTAGCTTGATTTGAGAATGACTATGAGATGGGATTGGACAATAATAAGTTTAATTAGAACAACATGAATATGGCAGGTTTCTAAAAAAATCTAGATTTTCATGGTAGGCCAAAGAATTCTTAATCCTGATTGCAGTAAGTTTTGAAGTGTATGAGGAGTGACCAAGCCCAGTCATTTTAGAGTAGAATATAAAAGAGACCAAACAACTAACCAGTTTGGTGAAACATGTGTTGACTCTTGGACACTGAGATTAATAAGTGAGTATGGTGGGAATGATATTCTTTTAGCTATATATGTGGGTACGTATATGTGCATGCTAATAAGTCGAGCAGGAAAAGAAAACTCATAATCATAATGTACAGTAGAAACATTTTTTTTAAAGTACAAAAAAGATGAATGCTCAACTTGTAAATTTCAAGGATACAAAGAAAAAAACAAGAGAAAAGAATATGATATCGTGTACCAAAATAAAATAAATTAAAACAAAACCTATTGGGCTTTAATCTGCAAGGATTTGATTTTTTTGACTATCTTAGGTTAGTGCTTAGAATACAACCAAAGGAACTTGATATTAGAACATGAGTAAAAATTAAATTATGTTTCAATATGAATGCACTGTGGAGAGATTTTCAGCATATTGGAACAATCTGCATATAAGGAATTTCAAGAAGGACCAAAAAATTTTTAACGGGTAGAGAATGTGATAACCCGCAAAAAAGAAATATATTTAATTCAAAGTTTGGGTCAAATTATGATTTTTTGTTAAGAAAATGGTGCCAGTGCAATTAACAAATGTGTGAGGTGGTGCATCTAGGGTTTCTCCTATTCATGTGTATGTAGGCTATCAAAATAGAGGAAGGACAAAAAAATAACAAAAGGGAGAGAGAGAGAGATAGTCTACTGTTATAGACCAAGGATTGTTGGGGTCCATTGTTAGGGAATTTAACAATGGTGGTATGTTTTAGAGTTCATTACTATTGAAGTCAACAAGGGAACCAAGATCAACTAAGAATGCTAGTCATGGTATTAGTCTGGATCAAATTCATGTAAGTGGTTTACCTTATAATATGCCACCATTTGTAAATCTTTTTATAAAGAGTCATTTTATTGCTATCACCATTGTATTCTGAGTCATTGTTTAACCGTTGATTATCGATGTTTGTTAGGGCTTTCGTTTGATATGTCTTTGTATTTGTTGTGCGAAAAATATTTTTCGGGTGGAATGCTTGTGACCTATTGGCACATGTCAGGCATATTCGGTGACATAAATATGGTTTGAGATGTCGTTAACGGGTGTGTTTTAGAATGGGATGTACTGAGTAGCACCTAGCATGTAGCCAATATGAACCAAGTATGAAGCCATGAGTAATTTGATAGATTGAATCGTTGGGTTTTGTATGATTTTATAAAGGGATCTGTGCTAAATGCTCATTTTATTTGTTAATTATGCGGTGGATTGTTGGATTATCGTTTGACCCTAAACTCCATATATTTTGTTTTAAATTACTTAGAGAGCCTCCCAAGTTCACCCCCCATTTACCCCCTCCGATGCTGGTTAACCTCGAGGTATTAGTTAATTGAGGATGATTCGAATGAGTGAAGAATTAAATATTGTAATTTTTATTGAGAAAATATGTAATATTTGACGTTAGTTGTAATTTAAATTTGGGGGATTTATCAATTATTGAGAGTATTAGCGCTCCGCATGGATTGAAATAGATGGTTTTTGAATTCGTGCATCGAACCCAAGGGAATCGGGTTCTAGGCGTGACAGATACAATTTAAAGCTAACGTTTCCGCATCAAATACTGTATGGGATACAATAGTTATCAAATACTCAAGGATACGTATAGGAGATGTATTACACGTATCCAATAATAAACACAATATGAGGATACATCGGAAACACAACCAAAATGAATATACTTTGGATATGGAAGTGCATTTGCTAAACAATATGTGAAATTGATCGCTTTGATCTTTACCCTTTCCTCTCAAAGTTGCATACAATGCAACACATATAAAAAAATTCATACAACTGTGAAAGAGTATTATTTACCATCAAATGTCAAAAGAGCATATTGCAATAAGTATTTCAAAGTAAACCAACTACATAAATAATGGCTCTAACTCCTTTAATTAATCACATCACTTTGTTAATCTCCAATAATGACACAATCTATACTTCTTCAAAAAGTGGAAACTGGTATTTTTCGAATTTTTATCAAAGAATCTATTGAAAATTATAATTTTGAAGTTACGAGGTAACAATAAAAATAAAAAATATACTTTTATGGGCAAATCCTGGTCATATCTAGTTTGGCTACACAATATCGTTGTATCCATATTAAATCGTACTCGTTTCTCGTATCTATATCTATGCTTCTCGGGTGTTGACCCATGGATTTTCGAAAGAACTCACTAAACTGATATGCCCAAATTAAAGGATTATGAGGTACTTT